TCTCTCTCTCTCCTTCATTCGATTTTCTCTTTCTTTCTCTCCCTCCCCCCTTCACACACACACACAAACACACACACACACACACACACACACACACACACACAGCGCCGCGGGCACAGCAGTCTGTACACAAATAAACACACGTCAGTATTTTCACAACATCGCAAAAGGATTTATACAAATAAAGTTTGTAGGTTTGTCCTACGATTTAAACAGCAAGTTAGACGTGCCTTATTTTTATTATGGCATGGAGTGCGCCGAAAGATAGAGATGCCTTTTTTAACCATATCCATGCGTCGTGTTTTACTATCATACCCATACGGAGTGGGGAACTCTGTGCCACCACTTTCAAAGAGGAAGTTTACTTTTTCATCCGATCCGTACGCTTTGCATACCAGTCTGTCAAAATGATTTTTTGAGAAATATTGAAAGTTTCAAAGAGATCTTCATACCAGAAGTATTCTAAAATCTAAAGAATACAACCCCGGGGGTACAAAATGACCCCAGGGGGTACAGAGAGGGTTAAAAAAGAGAAACAACTGTATAATAACAGTACTGTCTTTTAACTCTATTTATTGAGTTATTTCCCTTTGACCACGATACAAAGGTTTGCCATTTAACGAAGGATATTGATTTTTTTGTTTAAGAAAAGGAATAGTGGCTTTCACTATCTCTATGCCTTTTGAAATTCATAGATTGTTGTTTCTTTCGAATTTTGTCTTTACGATTAAAGTACTTCTATCATTCTTTAGTCCTGTAGTCTACTTTATTTTGTCTGCTGCCTTGCTTGATGCAAACACTATCGTCCTGTTACCACTTTGCTTACGCACTTTTGATCTTACTTAGGTCTACTGCTATTTATAGACTTGCGTCACAGCCAAGATCTGCTCGACGATAGCCCAGCTGTAGATGGACTACCGTAATTGTAAACAACCTTGTGATCGCCTTCTTGGTGCGTGACCAAACTTTCTTTGTCCAGCTTGGAACATCTGATCTTCGTGCTTAGTGGCTGCAAAGGACAATCCACACGCCAAAATGCTTACTCGTCGACAGATTGACGTGCAACGAGAGAACCTGGCTTCTATGTGCAGGTACGTGCTAAAGAAGCGAAATTGATATGACAACAATTACAATGATTAGTTATTATAGTCGTTCACGCCCATCAGACAGGATGATCATTAACTTGTTGATTGTATTCGTATTATTATAGCCGCTGTTGCAAAATAGGCCAAGCTCAGTGTAATCTACGATTCTTTTAATTTGAAGTTCGATTTCGTAGCATCAAATAATATCTAGATCTAGAACTAGTCAAGAAATCTAGGCTATTTAATGAGGTTGTTGTGCTGGACTAGACCTTTTTTCTATTGAATATTGGAGCGCACTGATTGTGCCGTCTCAGACTCGGAGAAAAGTAGAGTCAAACAAACCCATGCCTGTCTACCACCATAGCAGACACTGCCACCACCACGGCACGCACCATTCCCAGGTGTCCTGTTATGTCCATTAACGCTTTACTACTCTACCAAACTAAAATTTTATTTTTATATGAGACTAATCTAAAATACACACACACACACACACACACACACACACACACACACACACACACACACACACACACACACACACTCCTCCCCCACCACAAACACACTCACACCCACACACACAGTTCACACTGATGCGGAACACAGCACTACTAGACCTACATTTTTAACAACAATTCGAAATAACAAATGCGTGCCGTAACTCTCACCTGAGTCCTTTCAGATTTTATTTCAACAAGTGTAGTGCATAGGAGATTTCCTGCAAAGTGAATGGACCTTGGCTCTGTCCCTTCCTTTCTCTATCTCTATTGTCTGACTGTTCGACTGTCCCACCAAAAGCCGCAAGTGCCTGATTATATTCTTCCAGTGAACCACCACACACGAGATCCCCATGCTCCTCTCCACGAGAACCCCGCGCCCACGAGTAAATCTCGATATTTGAGGTAAAAAGTGGCCAAGTGTCCACAACACACACACTCAACACTCACACTCACACACAGAGGCGTCACAGGCCTTCAAATACACACACTGTACTCACACTCTCGTAACATGATACAAAAGCTTTCCAAAGACCTTTTCTTCCCTTTTCCTGCCTATAGTCTAGTGTAGTCTGGTGACTATTATTACTGGCCTTGGTACAGTTACTGACTTATTCTGTGTCACATTCTCCTACAGTAATTGGCATTCTTCCAGATCTTTTTTGTCTTTAAATCATGCTAGATTCTAAAAATGTAAGGGTATAGTAAGGGTTACTCTGTCCTTATCCCTACCCTAATCCTGTTCCATGCATGAGCGAACTGCAACCCCCTGGCCAGTTTCAGTAGAGCCCGCAAGACAACCTAGTTTAAAAATGAAGCCCAAAAAATAGTCGGTCTTGGAAAATTAGATAATTTATAGCTTACAAGCTTGACGCAGCTGACGCAATTTTAGCCAAGTTTCAGTTTGGCATAATTTTTTTTTTCAATTGTTTGAAAATTCAGTTAACATTTTTCTTAAATTCCATTTTGGTACTGGCCTATTTTCTGCCTGGGGAGCTGAAAGGTTCCACCTTGATAGTTTTCTACTTGGCCATACCAAAAAAAGTAACTGTGCTGACTTCCTCCTGTGGCCAAAAGTTCTATCAAAAGTACAAAACATGCAGGTGACTGAGCTGAATTAGTGGGATTGTGCCTGCTCCCTCGTCCCCCCCCCCCCCCTCCCCAACACCTTTTTGGGGGGACAGTAAAACAGCATGGATCTTTGCCTAGGATTACTATATAATATCTTATTTTATATATCTATATATATAAATATATATATATATATATATATATATAGAGAGAGAGAGAGAGAGAGAGAGAGAGAGAGAGAGAGATGTAATAATGATAGTTTGTTCTCATGAACTTATGACGACCCCTACTCTAACATCCAAACAGGTGGAGCTACGGACGGCAAGTAAAGGATGATTTTTACTACTAACCTAGTTAATTGGCTCCATTTTCCAATTTCTCATTCTGAAGTTCTTGTATACTGCTTATTGTTATGGTGAAAAAATGGTTTTAAAATTAAAAATCTAGCGGGCTAAGAAAATTGTCCTCTTGCCTGTGGTCTAAAGTAGTTTCTCTTAATTGTACTTCACTTACACAGGGAAAACAGAAATTTAAGTCAGATGCTATATTTAATGATCCAAAGGAAGACTTTCTTTTTCTTTGGTGGAGTACTTGGCCTTTTTACGGAACTCACTACACCACAATTAGGCACTTACATTGTGTATGCAGACTGAGTAAGAGTTTATGACTGAATGCACAACTGCTGCTTTTTTTTTTTTTTAAGAATAATCTTTTTGGCGTTGAAAAAGTCCCAAGATATGTTCAAAGAAATGCCATTGTGTCAGGACAGAAATAGCTGAGTGTGTTTGAGCTTGCATGGTGCTTTATGCCCTAAAATACATTGTACACAAATATGATGTTTCAAAGGCAGAGCACTTGGCCCACTTTTTAACGGGTTAAAAGGCAAAGATGATAACTTAATCTACACACATCATACGCAATAATGTGTGTGTTTTGTACACCCAGACCATTTACACTATAGTGCAATAACAAATTTGGGGTGCAACTTATTGTCAAATATTTCCTTAACTATCAAACATTGACTCTCCAGCTTTTGCACAAGGACTTGTATCAATTTGTCTTAACAGATCAATATTTTTTTTTAATACCTGTTAGCTAGAAATTTCTTGAACAAATATTAATTAAAAATCCAAGTGGGTGGTTTCTACAGATTCTAAAAAGTTTTCAGCTTGGGCAATATCGCTTTTAAAAGTAAATCCGTCATTTTTTTCTTATCATTATACTTATTGAACGCATGTTTAGTGCAAAAAGGTACAGTCAAACCTGTGTAAGGCGGCCACCCATTGTCAAGGAGAAAAGTGGCCATATAAGACAGGTGGCCGTCTTAGGCAGGACTGATCAAGATGAAGAAAACAAACCATTCCCATCTGAAGTCCAAATCAAAAGTAGCCGCATTGTTTCTTGTTTTTGTTGTTGCTGGTTGGTATTTTGTTTGTTGTTTTTATTTCGTTGCTGATTTTGCGCAAGAGTGACAATAAAACGAAATGTATCAGATGAGGATGACCGAGTACCATGTTAAAACAAACACATGGGTCGCCACCACTCGGAGAACGAGTGACACGTTCATGTTGACGTCCATTGTTTCTTTGTTACAGACTGGGTAAAGAATGACCACTCATCTCACTTACTATTTGTGTATGAGTTCTGGGCGGGGCTTATGGGTTATGAGGGATCACATGCTTACCTCACCAGCAGCTGAAAATTGCTATTGGTCAACAGTGTGAGGGGCCTACCCAACATGATCGGTTGGAGGGACTACCTGACAACAACGACAGGTGATTGAATTATGACAGCTCGCCCACAATGCCAGGGGCCAGTGCACAATTTATGACAAAACGTACTGGAGTCACTAAGGTGGCCGTATAAGACAGGTGTTATTGCTTACTGTGATAGGGGTTGTGTGTTAAAATAAGGTGGCCGCGGCCGCGTTGGACAGGTGCCCGTTTTACACAGTTAAATTATATAGAAAAAATGCAAGGAGGGGAATGGAAAGTGGCCGTTTGTACAAGTGGCCGTCTTATAGAGGTAGCCATCAGGGCAGGTTCGGCTGCATTCGCTATAAAATTAATTTCCTGTAACAAGTGTTGCCACAAAAAGGTGTCATTAGTGAGCTGTGACGTTAGCTGTGTATGTAAAATGTGTGTGAGAAGTGGGAAGTGCTGTGAACCATCCTATCTTTCGTGTTAGGGAGTTTTATAGTATTTTATATAAATTTATGAAGAAACATTTTTTAATCTAGCCTCAATTATTGTGGGAAGATATTATTAAGTTAAGACAAATTAATACAAACTGCTGTGCAAAGTTTGGGTGACTTTGATTTACCAGGGAAAGAGATATTTGAGGATATATGTTGCACCACAAATTTTTTACCTCACTATGTGTGTTTTGTGCAGATCCTGCTCTAAATGGCCACCTGCAATCAGCCTCTTTCCATTTCCTCCCTTGTGAGTCTTTTACACTATATTGAATGATGAAACTGTGAAAGATTACCACTTTTTTCCTCGGCAGTTCGCCGTCTAAGCCTATTTCGAAAGGTATCCAACTTAAGTTGACAGAGTTTTTACTGTTGGTATATTTGTTTTCCAAAAGCCTACTAATGAAAAGTTCCAACCCCTTTCTGACTTCATTACTGAATCTTTTACACTGTCTTTGTCTCTTTGTCTCTCTCTCCTCTCTTTTTTTTCCTCTCTCTCTCTCTCTCTCTCTCTCTCTCTCTCTCCTTTCTTTTTTTTTTCCTCTCTCTCTCTCTCTCTCTCTCTCCTCTCTTTTTTTTCCTCTCTCTCTTTTACACATACTAACACTTGGTTATTCATAGCTCTTTGTGCTCTTGTCGAAGCTATTTTGACCATCTTTTTTATCTGTGATGAACCAAATTTTAAACCTCCCTAGGTTGTTATCTGCGTTTTGTGTATAATATTACACCTCCGTTAACGAGTTTGATTCCTGATAAGGTCTACACTCAGATGTGAGAGAGGGGCTGTTTATGATCTGAAGTCTGACACACTTATGATAAGGTTATCACATTTTGAAAGGGACAATCTACGTGTGGACTCGTAGGGCCTATCGCTAAGGTCTTGCCATGAACTTGTGGCTCACTGGATGAAAAAATTACAGATGAAAAAAATAAGAGGGCAGATAACAGTTTTCTACTTGATCATTCTTTTTATTTTTTTTCCCTTTTCAAAGCAGTTGTTATAGTTATAATGTATCAAATTATCTAATAAAAGCTTTTGTGTCATGACACCAGAACATCCTTCACACATATTTCCCAATTATTATTGATATTATTATTATACATTATACTTACTGGTTAGCAATATTCTTCCAATTCCTGACATTTTAGTACAATTTTTCCTTTTTAGATAAGGAGTCATGAAACTTTTTATGGAAGCCAAGGCAGTATTCTGCTTTTTAGGAAACCAGCCCTGTACCGACTTATGGTGGTATCAATACTCACAGCTTTCTAAGGGGGTCTTTCTGTGCCACCCTATACAGATACTGCTTGTAGAGAAACCCAAAATTCCTTGCCTACCTTATAGGTGGCAATGGACTTATTTTGTTTATGAACTTTCCTTGCTTAACAAAAACGGTCACACCCAGTTGTGTTTATTTCTGTGATGTGCAGCAAGGTCATGTTTCTTTATGCTCTGGTATTTTACTTGAAAACGCTTTTTATTTATATATAATTATTGGTGTAAAACATGAAGCTAGTGAGATAAAAATAGATTTCAGTACAGGTTTGCTAGAAGGGTTTCCTAGTCAAATACCAGAGCATGAAGAAACATGACCTTGTATCGCAGAGCTGAGATTAGCATGAGTCAATGTACTGCGAATAAACACTTGGTATAATTTTTTATTGCTTGTTCTGTTTCCAGTATAGTTGTTATCTAGTTTGCAGTCAAAGGTTGAGAAGACTTCCAACTGGAAGCAAGTGGTTGGTGATAGTTCGGGGGGGGGAGGGGGGGGGGGGTGATCAATGAAGTCTGACGTTCATCTGGACTCAACTGGTTCCCTGTTATGGCATTGAGCTCCTAGAAAGAACTTCCCAGGAAAGGAAAGAAATTCTAACCTACCTAACTCAGATTTCAGTCCCCACCTTTCAACGGTGACTAATGTGAACTGCCGTAAATAGGTGAAACTATATATGAAAGATTTTTTGCTATACAGCTTAATGAGGTTAACAATTAAGTTTATTGTCCTGGACACCGTTAAGAGAATGGTTGGCATAAAAATACAGGCATTATCAGAATGCTGTGAACTCAGTCTTTCATAAATTAGTCATCCTGGGGTCGGTAACAACATCAACCAATCTATTATTAAATGTTATCGGAAGGATTTACTCTAACTCTAAGGTTTGTCTGGTGGGTGGTTGGCGGGTGGTCTGTTGTGGTTTGCTTCTTCTTTCCTATCAAATATCTATCGTCCTGATCTCTCCTCGTTCTGTTTTATGTTTGTTACTCTCTTGTAACACTTCTAATTTTCGGCACTTATATGACCTTATTGTGTTTCAAGTGCAGTAAAACTCTTACTAAAACTAAAGTTTGTCTCTCTCTCTCTCTCTCAGGATCTCTGTGAAGTCACTGCTGGATTATGCTTGCTTGTACACACACGTGGATGATGACAGTGAGGAGTTCATCAACTTTTGCTCTGTGTTTGAGCAGATGGTTGTCCACAGACTCAGACGTAAGTGGTTATTTCCTGGTGAGGTTAGCCTCCACGTTCATTTTGAAGTCTTGTTTTAAGATATCCACTTGGATTTGATGTTGATCCTAAATTCCGTCTTTTTCTTTATTTAATCTATAAGAGTTTTCTGTCATTAGGATGACGTGTCTTTTCTGCTAAATCAGAAGCCTGATCAGTTACCTACCTGTGTGAAAAAATCAAATTGAAACTGTGACTAGTTTTTGAATGAATTAGAATTCAAATTTCAGATTGACTCTATTTTTAAATGATTGCACTGACAAAAATCCTCTTTTTCTCGAAACTGCTCTGAAGAAAAAAAAGGCACTTGTCTGCTTACGGCAGTTTAGTTGTTGGAAGTATGACATCCATTCGGACACACTTTAGTCTTTATGTTTTTACGATGAAACTGGTTTTCTCAAAAGAGGACACCTGACTAAGAGGAAAAAATATTTCAGGGTCATGAAGCTTGGATAAAATTTTGATTGCATTATAAGATTTGAACCTCAAACGGTTCACAAATTATAACCAACTGAACTGTATCTCTGCCGCTTATTTTTTTATTCTAATTTGTTTTACTGCAAAAATTTTTAATGCTCTTTTGTTTAAGAGTAACGACACTGAGTTCACTGTTTTGTCACTTCAGTAACATCATTTGTATTATTTCATCTGTTCTTTTGGCAGCCTATCAGAGAAAAGTATGGCTCCGTGGCTCTGGACCTCCCCGTCACTTTTGGGAGGTTTTGGTAGAAAACCATAACAGCCGTCGGGGTTCCCTGTTCCAGACCTGTATCCCTAACATTGAGGCCATCGAAACTCTCAAGTCACCAAAGGCCAAGGTTATTTAGCTTCTGTTTAAATTGTTGTACTCAAAGTATTATCTTCTGTGTTTAGAAATTTGCTTTGCAGGCCAATTTTAGCCCGTTACTGCCGACCTATATTCCTCGCCCTATGCTTACCTTGTTTCCAGGAATAGCACTCAAGCGGATGATCCTTTTAAAGTGCTATTTACTCTGTGGTAATGTATCTAACGCTTAACAATGTCTGCATCATTTTAAATGAAAATGAATGAACTGCAATCATCATTAGAAAAATGTCATCGTTGTTGTGAGCGTGCATTGCGAGCAATCAGTCATCGGAGCTAGTGAGGTGCTAGAACTGTGAAGAGGGACTGGCGCTATAATTCACGCTGTTTCGGTCCTTGTTGGTCTAATTAGGGCAAACTAAAGTTTCTCTAACTCGGGAATAAAAGAGCTTTCAGGGCCGCCCACTCTCGATTCTCAATCGCAATTACCGGCTGAGTTAGGAAAATAAACAAAATAGCGATATTGCCAGGCGTACACTGTACCTCTACAGCACATAGGAGGGCCCGATTTACAGATGTACACTGTACACCGAGCAGCAGTGAAGCGGTTAAACATTTTTTTATGTTTGCTGCACTTGGCAATTTGGGTGCTGGTGGTGAGGCTATGGTGTGCATGATCTTTTACTTAAATATATTTCACCATGTCAAGATATTGTACTCACTGTGCATTTATGAAACGTGAACAATTACATTTATTTGAACGTCATTACAATGCCAGTATATAGTAATTCTAGTTGTGTATGTGGGTGGATGAAGGGCACCACTGGTGGATCCAGCTTCTTTACTTTTTATGTGTTGTTTCTCTCTGTCTATTTTCCTCTTTTACCCCGCCTTTTGAATAACCTAATAGTGTTGATAGGGGCATTAAACTTATACCATTTCACTTTTGCTCTTTTACAGCTCTGAATGACTGTTATTTTGTCGATGTGTTTCTCTTCACTAAAAGACTTTTTTTTTTTAATCTAACCTTTTTGTGTACTTCTCTAATCTTTGCACTATGTTCTGCTTCAGCTGAGGGCTTTCATCCGAGTGGCTCTCATGGAGAAAAGACTGTCGGATTACATATACTGGCTCTTGGAGAACCCAAGGCTGATCAGGTCAGTTTTTCATATGGCAATTCCACCCATCACTGTAGCATTTACTATTTTCCACTGGAGGCTCTGTGGCATTGCGGATTGCGCAAATGCGCACGAACTGAAGACCCGGAAATACCAAAAAAAAATTGAGGGTTCGTCCCCCGATCAGCACTAAGAAAGCAGAAAACAAACTGACAGAAACAGCAGGAGAGCACTTACGAGTCATGAACTGAGTGTGGCCCGGCTCTCTTAAAGTGTAAGGATGTTAGGGCCGAAACACTTGCTCGAGGAGGGTTCTTCCTCTGAAGATCCCCTGCTGTCCGCTCGCCCCACGAGTTTTCTCCCACACACATATATGGCAATTCACTTTTCTAGTCTATAAATTTCTAGTCTTTGAAATGTATATATCAGCAAGAACATAATATGGGCATGAGTTGTCTGTAAAGTGATTTTGTCTTCTTTTTTTTAATGCATTTTTTTTTTTATTCCCTTGACGATACAACTCGGGAATTTCAAATGGGCTTGACTTTTTGGTCAGAGCAAGGAAAGAAAAAAAAAAAGCACATAACCACCCCACAGAAAAAGAAGAAAAAGAAATACCTCTTATTTATCCTCACAGAGAAAGTTGTTAATTCTTATCTGTGAGTGGGGTAAACCCACTACGCCGGTGCCCTTTTTTGGTACCAAATCTAAAAATTACAAAAACATCACTAAATGGGTCATTCAATCGAAACTAACCTATTATGATAGTACTTCATCTAATGAATGAACTTCCGGTAAAAGAAACCTGTTTACGGCAATTGGCTAAAAAAAATTGCAGCTCGCCGGCTCAGCAGTTCCGACCGCGAGCCGCTGGGAGCGGCTTGCTGGAGATAAAGAATTAATGCATAGGCCTATATTTGTGTCACGAAGCGGTGGAATCAGGCACTCCTCAATTTTTGGGTTTGTGGAGTTATTAGTATCATCTGAAAGCTTATTCGTTTGCCTTGCTTTCAATGAAAAAAATACCCATCTATCTGGAATAGAAGTTGAGATATTTGCAATTAAAAGAGATGGGGGTCGCCTGGTTTCAGAGGTAGAATAAGCGAGAAAATGGCCGCCAAAGTTTAGTAATTTCAATAGCTTAGAGTCCTTGAAAACTGGAAATTTACACATTTTACTCCTTTAATCTATGTTTTCCAGTAAAATTCACATGGAAATGTGTTTTTATATGGACGTAAAAGGTTTAGAGCCCAAAAAACAAAAATTCTATTAAAATGTACAAAATGGCGGAAAAGTGCCTGTTCCTTCGATTTCATTATTTTGACGAGCGCCTGGTTTTACCATGGTGCCTCACATATACCGGTAGGTATAAGTCAAGAGAGGGCCCCTCGACAAAATTTCGTCTTCTGCGCATGTAGGCCTGTTTCTTTGTCTCTCCCCTGTTCCTCTGTTCAAGTAACTAGAACAAGGGCAGCCGTTCAATTTTTACTCTCTTCCGCACTCTTGGGGGGAGGGGGTGTCATATGGCTCTATTTTTTGCTGCAGATCACACATATTACTGCCACTAAAGCTGTTTCAAATCAGTTATTCAATTGTTTTCCGAAAAATTGCAAAATGTCAAATTATGGGGGAAAACAGGAGGGGGGAGGGAGGGGGCTTGATAACAAATGAGGGAGGAGTTTATGATAACAGCAACCCAAAATTTCGCATACACTCAGAGTGAAGGCCCAGGATATGCGCATGTTGGTCAAATAGGAGATGCTAAATTGACTATTATCTACATCTATATGTGTAAAATATATAGCAAATTTCAACTTATGGTATGTATGCTAACATACTTTATGGTTGAAGTTTAATAAGTTTTCGTTGTAAAAATTTAATGTTAAAAGCAGTCATTAATATTTTTAAGATAAATATTTACAGTTTCCTGTGAAGACCGGGGTCCTTATAAAATGAAGAATCCTGTGGGGATCAACATTGGAGAACAAGTTTGTAAAATTTGGACATTTGAAGCATTCACTTCACATCTCTCCAAAGTCTGGACATTCTGTTAGGATGTGTCTGATCATGGTCATAAATGCATCCAATACAAGATGGCTTGAGATATAAGAGGACATTGCATTTATTATATTTATCACAAAATGGGGGCAATTTTGAGATAAGATAGGAGAGCCAAGTTCCCTTTTGAAAAATGTGTCTGTATGCCTGTGTATATTTTGAAATATTCTTTGACTTTATGTTTCAGGGAGAGCTACATGGAAGGTGCATTGCTGGCCTCAGAAGAAGCAAGTGTTTTGTGTGGGGACCTTATTGGACTTAATGCCATTGACTTCAAGTGAGTTTTTAATTACTTTTCTAACCTGCTAAGACTTTTAAAAACGCAAGTTGCATGAGGAAATTCGGTGACAAAAATCTTCTGTGTATCTGCAGAAAGAGGTGGAATTAAGATTAAATATATCTTTATGTTAGCTGATCTTGCCAGGATCTGAATTTTGTCGAAGTTTTTTTTCCAGCAGATTTATTTTTTGTACTTGAGCATAAATGAGTAATTCTTATTAACTTTGAAGGAAATAATTATCTTTTTCTTATTTCAGTTTCTGCCTCAAAGGAAATGAGAATGAACTTCTTGGACCTCTGGAGATCAGTTATGCCCCTTTCCTCAAGTACAAGCAAACGTGAGTTGCTTTAAAAAATTCTGTGTCACAATTGAAATGGCTTCTGAATGCTACTTGTATGAAAAGGAAATACATGTAAATTGATTTAAACTTGGGGGGGGGGGGGTGTCAGGGGCCATCTGTAGGTCTTACGTCTCCTTTTCTCTCTATTGTTTATGTGTGTCAATCTTCATCTTTTATAAGTTCTACGGAGGACAGATCTGATACGGGGGCTCTCGTGGCCTAGAGGTTAAGGTGTTGGCCTCTCATTCAAAGGTCCCGGGTTCGAATCCGGGTAGCGACCGAAAAATTTTCTTCTCTAAAATTGTCTCCTTTCACCTCCTTTCCTGCTCTCTAGCAATGTTCTGTTGTCTGCTTTCATTTCCACTTTCTGCCCCCACCCCTTCACCTCCTTTGCCCCCTCCTCTGGGCTCCTGACTCTTTCTGCAGCCTTTCTACTGCTACTCATTGGTTCCTCCTTACTCCTGTCTTTCTGCCACACCCCTGATCTTCTGGTAGGAAAGATCTACACCTAGCCTTCTCGGACAAGGGCGAAAAATCTCGGAGGGCCCGTGTGCAAGTTGCGCACGTTAAAGATCCCTTGGTGGTCTAAAATCGATAAGAGTAGGCTTCGGCCGCCACCCGGGCAAAATTCAAAATTTCCTACCAACTGAAAATATTAGGTGTGTCCCGCGCGCTCATATGACCTATGCAGTTGCGAGCGCCGTAAAACACTTTACCAAAAAAAAAAAAAAAAAAAAGATCTGATACCTTTTTGTTTTTGTTTTCTTTTGAGAACAGTATAATATATATATATATATATATATATATATATATATATATATATATATATATATATATATATATATATATATATATATACAGAGAGAGAGAGAGAGTCCCTGAGCTCCTGCTATTTTGGTAACCAAACGGACTTGAAATTGGCGTTGAACCCGCAGCATACCTCTGCATTATTCAACACTGCGCCAATGTGTGCCTGTTGTTTTCAGGTCTGCCAGTCGCTCTAGTGATGAGATCGAGATGTTGCGGCTGAGTGGAGAGCCCTCCGGCGAGGTGGTACAGACTCTGACAGAGGGCAACCTCAATGACCTCTTACGCCTACAGAGCCTGGAGAAAGATTTCCGCGGGATCAAAGAGCAGAAGGTGTGTTCTTCTTCTTTCTTCTTCTCGATCGCTTCACTCTTGAAGTCAGGTGTTTGTCATAAATTGGGCCACCCTGCTGAGTTCATCTGTCGCAGAAGGTGTGTGAGTCAGCATTTTTTTTTGTGTATTATTATAAGGGACGGGGGGAGGGGGGAGGGGGGGAGTCTCCCATTTAATGATTATTTCTGATACAATGAACTGAGGAGCAACATCTCAGGACAAAATAGCTTTAACTCACAGGGGACCAATCACGAGTTATCTCATAATGGCTTCCCATTGCCTGAGGACCAATCACGTGATGAGAATAAAAATGCGAAAAGTCGTCCAATATACTTTCCATGTTTATTGTCATATCCGGGTACTCCGGGTGACCCGAAGAAGAGTGACTCTCAACGAACAAGGGTCTTTTTACAGCAAATATAGGTACAGTAACCAAGGTTGTATCATGGATGCTGAAAAAAAAATTTTTAATTCTCAAAAAGGGTGTATTTTTGACAAATCGTGGGAAAAAAGTATCCAACAAAGAGGATTTTTATTAAATGCACTGTGTTCAGAAAGGCTGGATCTGTAAGTGTGCCAAATTTTAGCTTTGTAACCCAACTACAAGACCACTAAATTTTCTTTTGAAAACCCTCCTAAAACCCTGGTCCCAAGGGGTTGGTGCCCGGAAAATAAGGCTAGTCCTGAGTGAGTTACTGAACCTACCCGAAGTGGGTGTTTGGTGTGCAGGATGCTAAATGTAGCGCAGTCTAGGACATGGGATCGGGTACATAAGGTTAAAGGTGGGGGGGGGGGTATTGGGGTGTTTTTGGGGAAGGGGGTTGTTATGGTGTCCTCTGTTCTATCATTTTCTGTCATCTTGTGATTTTTTTTCTCATTGAGCCAACTTTAACATCATGCTTTTATGGTAGTTTTATTAAAGAAACATGTAGCTATGTGCTGGGACAGTTGGTCTCAATGGTGGTGCATTACTTCTATCTGTCCATCTGCTTCTGGGTTCTTGTCCTTATTTTGACTAACTGATCTTTCCTTCATCAGGTGGTTAGGGGGCACAACATGAGAGTTCTACATCTTGTATTTCTTTCAGTTATTTCTGTCTATCTTTTCTCCTCTTTTCATGAACTAGCTTACATAGTTGCGAGTGCCCTAAAACTCTTTCCAAAACAATTCCATGAACTAAATGACTCTTATTGTATTCTTCACTCAAACGCAAACATTCTTTTTCTGTCACTTTTGCTGCCTCCCAGGTCTAACGTGTCCCATGTTGTCATCGTCGTCACCGACGGCCGTTCTGAGAACTCGACGGAAACTAAGGCTCAGGCCAACGTTCTCAAAGACTCAGGGGTCTTAATGTTTGCTATAGGTCAGTATTTGCTTACAGCTGATGCAGATTTTTGTGTTTGCTGTGGACATTGTTTTGCTTATACCAGTTACAGATTGTTGAGTTTGTTATAGGTCAGTATTGTGCTTAAAGCAGTTGCTGATTTTTGTGTTTGCTATAGGTCCGTATTGTGCTTAAAGCAGTTGCTGATTGTTGTGTTTGCTATAGGCCAGTGTTTGCTTATCGCCAATGGTGGTTTTGTGTTTGTAACATGTCTGTGTTTGCTTATAGTTGTGGCACACTTTTGTGTTTGCTAAAGGTCAGCCTTAAGTTTACAGCAGTCCACTTTCTCTCTAAATTTTGCCGGATCTGCCCAATGGCGACGACTTTTTTGTCCAATTTCCCCACAAAATTAGCCCTGCCGTGGCACCCCCCGGTATATTGTCACCGCAATCCAAGGTTTGGGTTACTGTAGGACTCAACGTTTTGGCTTCAGCTTGTCTCAAACACTACCCTAGAATTACACGTTCTATTTGCTCAGTACCTAGTGTTCAGAAATTTGACGCTAAATATTTAGAGCTGTACAACATGTCAAGCTTTTTCGAATGCAATTCTTTAAATATCTAGATAACGACTCCGAATATTCTAACGATTTGGATTGAAAAGATAGAACATTAAAATTTGGTTTCGATCTCATGGTCTTGGTAACTCAAAACAGCTAACAATGTCAGATAGATCTTTGTAATTCTAAGGTAGCGCAATGTTACGACGAGAACGTGACAAACCCATTACGTTTATGTTCACCAGATAGATGAGCCTTACAGATGAAGTCCTATCCGGTACTATTAAGGAAAAGTAAACGTCTCCTCAGCTCAGAACTGTTCGTGAAAATATATTTGTATAATATATTATATTGTATTGACATGCAGAAGCCCACCCAGCTGTGATAGAATTTGACAACAGTGGTAGAACAAGACCGTGCTTAAAAGAACTGAATTGTGTTCTTTCGGACTAATGCCATTTCCAATCAATTATTTCCATCTCCAGGAGTGGGCCCTTATGTAGACGATCAGGAGTTGGAGGCCATCGCCTCTGAACCATCCGAAAATTTCATATTCACGATAGCCGATTATGACACACTCACGTCCATCAAAAACACCCTCGCTCTCCGCGTTTGTGACGTAGGCATCCCAGGTAACCAGACGGAGATAGACGCTGAGTAGAGGGAACAGATTGGTGTGAAGCTGATTACCACGACAAGTTAAAGAGGTTTATTTCCCCGAGACACGGACAGCACTAATGGTTAATATGATAATATCAGCCAGAAAGAATCGACCTGTCTATAAATAATACGAAAAACTTCACTCGGCCTCGCACAAGTTGGCTAAAATATCTTTTGTTTGAATGCTTTACAAATGTTTGAGTAAGAGTTTTACAGCTCCTGCAACATAATTATTATATAAGTATATAAGTACGGGAGATAAGAGGTATTCCTAGAGAGTAACATACGAAGGAGGATAGATAATGACGACATATGTTTGACAGGGAAGAAGGAGCAAACCATACCAGAGAACCCATGTTTGATTGTTTGCATCCTGTTTTAGAGTTAATATTTTAAAAGTCCTCATAAATGTACATGCACATGGAATTTAGTATTTTATCTTTTATCGCCAAAAGTCAAAACAATAATTTTACATCGTCTTCAGTGCTCCCTGCTTACTTAAAAATGTGAATATTCTGAGTATTTACTGTTACCGCTCGAGTTTCCCCCACACCCCAAATCCAGCCTTCGCCTGCACCCCCGCCCTTCAACAACAACAACAGCAACAACAACAACAACGACAACAACAACAACAATAACAACAATGACAACAACAACAACAACAACAACAACAATAATAACAACGACAACAACAACAACAACAACAACAACATTAATAACAACGACAACAACAACAACAACAACAACAGACTTGATTTCCTATTATTTATATTGTTGTACATATTATGGGGGAGGAGATGAACATAAATGTTTTTTCAATGTCAATTTCTTGTGTGTCGTGGATTTGTTGAGGTGGAGAGGAACAATTATGAACATGATCATGATCATCATCATGATCTGATCATCATCATTATCATCATTTTCTGATCATCATCATCATCATCATCATCATCATCATCATCATCATCATCATCATCATCATCATCATCATCATCATCATTATAATCATCATCATCATCATCATCATCATCATCATCATCATTCCAATAATCAAGAGGGAAATAAGAGACCCACCATGTAGAGCTAGGTACCAGCGCGTGGAAGGTGTGTATTCTGGGTACTCCTAAAAGCGGGAACAAAAATCTATCACATGTCGCTGGGACCAGGTTGAGCTAGCGAGACTGCGGTCGGACCATCATTGGAGCTTAAGATGGCATTAGAACTTTGTAAATGAAGAGCTCAGCCCATGTTGCCGAAGATGGGGCCATGGAAAGGAGGATGTCAAACATGTTTGAATGTCCAGGAACAATGGCAATTCGAATGGGGTTATTTGGACGCGCGGAGGTGCCGCTAAGCATATTGACAATGGAGCCGAAAAAGAGCCTCGCTCTCGCTGGAAGATTTCTTTGTGGGGTCCGCCAGGCCCATTAAGGAAACAAAAAAAAAATCATCATCATCATTGTTGACCCCCCCAAAAAATTGCCCCCCCCCACCCCCAAATTTAAAAAAAATAAATAAAAAAATGATGGAGACTGCAGAATTTAAACAATTGTAATACTGAAAAAGTTCATCGTTTTGCTGCTGAGCGCTTCGTCAGGAACGTGAAAAGGGATTAATGACTACACTATGGAAACAAAAGTATGCGCACACTTCATCATGATGCTTAATTAATGGTGTGTACGAGAAAAACATATCAGAAAGGCTAAAGAAAAGGGAAAGCTATGGTTAGTAGTGATATTAATATGTGTATACTCACTGTCATATCATATTTATAGAATTGTTATTGCACGGGTAGACTCAAGAGTGTGAGTCAGTGAGTGAGGTCAACAGTAAAATGTCGATGTAGCAACGGGCACATAGTGAAGGAAAAAAGCCAGAGAGAAGCAGCACAGGCAGAGAAAAGAAGTAGAACCCACTATGGTCCCCTCCAATCACCATTACCTAAAACAAAACAAACAAAGACTGAAATTTTAAAAGATCTGATGGTTTCATGAGCCATGTCCCAAATACGCTCTTCTCATAACTCCAGATTTACTTTTTTGTACTTCTTGTCAAGGCCTCAAGTCTACCCTTTCTGTACTAAAAGTAAGCCAAAAAACCAATTCTCCAGACCTCTATGAAAAACAGACTTGCACAAGTATTTTCAGCGTGAATGGAATGTTTGCAAGTTATTCATGGAATCATTTATTGGATTACTTGACAGGTCTGCTGACCCCGAAGTTATGTCATGCTGGATAATGATAATAGTAGTAATAATACATGACTTTCATATAGTGCATTTCCATAATTTTCAATACTCAAAGCGCTTTACAAGACATATTAATAGCCTATAACGGCAGCTTTCACGCACATGGGCATAACAAAGCACACGAATATGCATATCAATGTTTGGGTACATGAATACAGGAATATAGACAAGAACAAATGTGTATAGAAACAATTCATGTAAATAGTTTAAGAAGTATGGATCAAATAAAAACACGGTAAGCAATTCCAACAGGGTAAAGCGGGGGGCGACCACCCCCAATCCAGTGCGTCACTGATGGTGGAATTTTGGAACGCTTCCACACATGGGGGTTTGCTGCGAACACCCAATAAGCAACAGTCAACCAACTCAGAGGGCGAGGGGGGGTAGTTTTGGTGGTTCTGTTGCTCTTGTTAGATACCGCATCGTGTCCAACGAAATGGTCATCGGGCGAATTGAGGCCCCCATAAATAGCATTTTATCTTCAGCTGAGAGTCAAATATGGAGGATACCTGGCGTATGAGAGATCTATTTCTCTAAAAGCAAAGGGCAGATGAGGATATTTTTAAAAAATCCGAAATGGCCACCTGGCACCAGTGCATTGCCCCCTTCAGCAACTACTGAATGTTATGAGGATATTACTCTGGAGGTTGACGATGTTATTGAAAGGGAAAACAGACGATGTAACCCTGTAAATATGTTGAAAGAGGGGAGCAGTTCATATGGAACTATTATGATGGTCAACAGCCCGAGGAGCTCCACTCTGAATGAAAACAAATAAACACCTGAAAATGGGCAACTGGAACGTTAGAATCAAGCTCCAAACAACAAAATTGGCCCAAATTACAAAAGAAACGGGTAAATACCATCTAAATATACTAAACCTGACTGAAACACGCTGGCTATGCCATGGGAAAATTATATTTCTTAAAATGGAAAACAAAACACGACTGTATTCAGGACAAACTATATGCGACAACGCGGAATAGGTATCCTATTAAATAAAGCAGCACTCAAAGACCTTATTAAAAGGGGATCAGCAGACCATTGAATTGAGAACAGGATTCCAAACAAGACATTTCAAAATTACAATTATACAGTGTTATGCATCGAAGAAGAAGCAAAAGGCAAATTCAACAACGGTCTTAAAAGCCTATCAACGAAAGCTCCTCAGCATGTCATACTTTGTGTGATAGGTGACATGAATACAAAAGTAGGAGAAACAAAGGAAGGAATAGAAGGTACAATGGGCCATCATGGAGATGGCAATATAAATAACTATGTAGAGAGATTGATTAAGGTGTGAAAGCTAAACAGTCTTGTTATAGGTGTATCATTAAATCCACACAGTTATCCATTAACTTACTTGGTGTTTTCCAGATGGAATTACTAAAATAAAATAGACGATTTGTCCATTAGGAAGAAATTCAGAACCTCTTTAATTGATGTCTACACGTAGAGGGGGGCAGATGTGGGGTTGGATTATTTCTTCTGCATAGCAACAATCAAAATGGAATTAAAAAGACAGGTGGTAACAGTAACCAATAAAATAAAATTAAAAAACAAAACACTTTGATTCATCAAAACTTAGAAAACCAGACGTTGCTACAAAATTTAAAATAAAATCTAATCTAACAAGTATGAAGGTATACTACCAATTTATGGAGATTGGGATGATTGTGGACTTTAAAAAAGCCTTTGACATCATAGACCTAAAGGTCAGATGGACAATTTTCATAATTTATAGCATCCAAACAAAATTATTAACGGTATAAATTTATTATATACCAAAGTAAGCTGCTGTTTCCTTGTTGAAAGAGAACTAATTAAACTTTTAAAAGTTAATATTGAAGTTAGACAAGGCTGTATATTATCTCCTGTACTTTTTGAAATTGTAATCGACTTTGAGAGAGAGAGAGAGCAAAGGCATTGAACAGGCTCTGGATGGACAAATGGCAAATATTTGGGAGATTTAGATTTTGTGGGTGACATTTGCATATGAAAACCACAGTACATGAAATGCAATTAAACACAAATGAATAAGCAAGAGCGGCAGAAAAAGGGGGTCTTCTTATCGATGTGTCCAAAACAGAAGTGCTGTGATTATCACCAGAAACTATTCCTATCCCTCTTTATGGAGAACCTCTTGCAGAAATGAGTAAATTCAAGTACCTTAGCAGCTTTATCTCCAAAACTGCAGACTGCATTGGCGGCGTCCACTGAAGACTTAAAAATGCATGGATCGATTTTTTAAAAAGATGATTCCATTTGGTCAAAATTAAGAATATATAGCAGCAATGCTCTGGCTCCCCTGACGCATGATTTAGAGATATAGAAAACAAACAAAACAGTTCAACAAACTTTAGAAAAAAAGCTTAAACACAAATCAATGTTTACAAAGCATTTTATTAATAGAATGGAATGAATTTATTACAAGTAGTGTGGACAGTTGGAAAGAGCTGGAATTGAAGATATCAACAAAAAAAAAAAAAAAAAAAGGAGAAGATGGAGATATTTAGGACATGTTTTAAAAAAAGTCGAAAACACGATTGCACTATCAGACATGATATCGTCGGTCGCCTGATGAAATCGTGAATTCCACACGAAGCAAATTTTACAGGAGAGAGAAAAACTGATTTTTTCCGTCATTTGGCGTCCAATATATAACCTAAATGGATAAATCTAATCATTTACCATTTAGAAATAATACTGTAGTACATTTTTTGCCGTAGATGGTCATTTTTTTCGAAAAAGTGTGGGATTCACGATTTTCATATTCGAATCCCGCCTTGTGCGGTCGTGAATTCCACACAGGTGTGGAATTCACGATTTCATCAGCAGGCTTTTTGGAACGCGGTGTTGTATTCACGGCACAGAATTCTACACTTATAGAACGGGAACTGTACCACGTGACCTGTGAGGAATTGAAGACCGAAAACAATGGCGTCGTGAGGGCACTATTTATCGTTTTCGGAAGTAACCCTATAGCTTTTAAAGCAAGAGCGGCTTTTACAAACGAGTGAAAAGTGGAACATTTACTGTCCAGTTTGT